GGCTTTCTGCGCGACTTTTGAGTCGCAAAATCATCTATTATGGCATCGAAGTCCATTTTGTTCTCTAGTTCAGTTTCAATTGCCAATAAACTCAATGAATTTAGTTTATCTCCTTCCATACTTGCTCTCAAATAATTTTTTACACGTTTTAACGTAGAAAAAGACCTCTCGGGTGAACAATTAGTTATTGCCATACATATTATATAATATAATAGAGCAATAAACTCTACGATTATGAAATTGAAAAATATAAAATATAAATATTACCACAATCCCGTTGGTCTAAAAACATTTTATAATTAGTTGCATTTATTTTAGTTAAAATATAATATTCAAAATTATTTGCCGCCCTAAGCACTAGCTTATAGTGTTTACTGGTAAATACGGCACTGATTAGTACTATTATTTTCTATGCTTTTTGAAATGTCTAAAATATTTAGACTATTTTAAGATATCCACATTGTTTCAGACAAACGTAGAATCAAACAGAGAAGTCAGGCAAGGATCTTACATATATATTTTTTTATGGCTTACCTAAAAGAACACTAAAAAGGTATTGTAAAAGGCAGTTACAATGGTATAATTAGGAATTTCATTTGTGGAAGAGAAGGGGCTTTAGGTTTTTAGCAAAATATGTAACCTGCCCGTATAACCCCACCAAGTATAAAATGTTAGCAGTAAAATATAAGTTATTAGGGAAGGATCTATCCCCTCACCCCCTTAATTACGCTCCTAATATTTTAAGACTCATACTCATAGATAAGTTTTGTACGACAGCCACAGCCATATGTCCCATCATTAAACTATTCTACGGTACCTATGTGGTAATGTGGTATTACGGTACATGATCTACTGATATTTCTGATATAAGTTAATAATTATAATATTATTATAATAAATTATAAGGAATATGTTAGTACTTATAATATATCATGCGATGTTTTTGTCAAATATTAGTTTAAAATACCGTATTACATATCTAATATTCTACTATCTACTACCGATATGATATTTTTCACAATTATTATTAGATAATGTGCAATTATAATATTCTATTTACTATATGGGTGATTTTTTAAGCATGTTCATCCTATTTTAGATTCTGAACGAAGTGATGAATATATTGATTTTACAATGATGTGTGTGGTTTTTTGTTGTGTCTGTGTACAGCATAACTAGTCGAAATAATGCTCCGATTTCAAACTTTGG